TATATACCCGATTTTCTTTCTGACCTCATATCTGGGACTATTACACTGTCTGACCTGTTATTAATATTATTTTATTCAGTGCCAGAAGAAGTAAAGAAGCTGCATTTCCAGAATTGCATTGGAGTCATTTGTGAAATTGTATATTACAATTTACCACCATTTCTAATAGTTCTTTAACATTTTCTTTCTCAACAGGGTGTTCACATTCCTGCCAGTGACCTCTGGGGGTGAGTTTCTTTGGTAGTCAAGAGAGAATTGCTTCAATCAGAGTTGGAGCTCAGGACAGGAACATATATTCTTCGTGTTGTTTGATTTCAAATGGATAGAAATTAGGAACAAATTATGCAAGAGATTTGTGTGGAATTTAAGTGCTTTCAAGGAGCAGTAGCTAGAACAAAAGCTTATTTACCTGTATGTTTGCAAATGTCAAAGACCAACACTGAGACAGTTGAGCGTGAGTTATAAGGAGTTGTCTATACATGCTAGTTGCCCAACTGGTTCATTTCAACTGCAGGTCAGAGTAACCTTGTTCTGTAGTCTGGGTACTTAGATACCAGGTTAGGTCTACCTTGCTGCTTATGTCCTTGGCCACCTTACCAAGCGTTCCAGTCAAACCCAGGTCAGTAAAGAATAAAGTTATATAGATGTGCACATGGATGGTCATGCCTGGACAAGAACTTGACAAGATTTCATTCAGCAATACCCAGGCTGTACAGGACAAATACGCCTCAGTTTACACAAGTAAGACAAACATCACAGTTATAACAGAGGAGAAACCAGGGGATTCACAGATAGGGCTGGCGCTTTCACTCTGCCACATGCACATGGGTGACCTTGCAAAAGAAACTTCATCTCTCTAAGGCTCTGTTTCCCCAACCATAAAGCAGGGACAGCCAAAGGGAAGCTATGAGGATTACAGTAAATAAGAATGAGCCAGTCTTGGGAAGCCTGCCTCCTGTAATGCCTGTGTTGGAAAGGTACATAAATGTTATGTTCATTTTTTTTTCCACAAAAGACATGATCCTAAAAAGCTCTACCCAAATTCAATTTTCAAATACCAAAATTTATCTTATAAACCCTATTCATGGGCAGCTGAAATAGCCTGGCACATCTCATTAGTAATTCCACCTTCCAATTCATCACCTCCAAATAGAGGTACGGTGGCAGGTGCAACCGATCTTTCTCTTTTCTCTTAGTAATTGCGTACGTTTAGGGTTACATCTCTCAGATCCTCTGAAAACAGACCAATTTATACTTACACATCATGAAGAAAGAGCCTGATCCTATTATCCTCTGGAGCAGTTAAGAGCATCCCAGGACTTAAGTCCTCCCTCTTGGCCTCAGGCTCAGAAGAGAAAGAGCACCAATCCAAAGCCATCCTATCTCCCCTCCTCATCAGTTTTTGCTTTCTTGCCTTCAACAAAGTTTTGTTTTGCCTTTTAGTAGGTTCTTTACCACCAGAAATCTTTCCCCTTTCCTTCTGATCTTTCCAAGTTGGAGCCTTCCACAGGTACTTGTTGAATGCCTGGGTGGAACTAGGTGGGTCCTATGGGTGCTATCCTTCAGTGAGGGAAGCTAGAGATACGAGATGTATACCATACACGGTGCAGAGGGTGTGGACAGGCAGGGTAAATGCTGTATGTGGGGTGCAGTGTGCACATGCCACTGGGCTATCTCAGTCTTCACCTAGGCTTTGGGTTGGGTAAGACTCCACTAGACAGAAAAGGGGCGGACTGAAAAATTAAGGAAGGTGCACCCAGATGGAGAGCCTTTCTTTCCTCCTACAGCAGAATGGACCTGTCCTATGCCAACCTCCTTTGCTTTCTTTCCCAGGTGGCACTTAGCTCATCTTGCAAGCTCATCTCATTAGTGTAATCATAAATGCTAGTAAATTAATATTACTCATTATAGGTAACATGATTGAACTTTAACAATCCAATGCTTCAATCCCAACTGATGACTGAATGGGGAGGACTTTAATCCCTGTTATAGAATATTTGGGAAGAGGAAGGCCTTTTGATGTCATACCATGTAGGTGCTTCTTTAGGGAGGTCACGAGTGAGGTGGATATGAGATTGGGATCTTCTAATAGAGGCATGGTCCTTAATACTAGGTTTCAGAATGCTTTTCAGTCTATTCATTGGTATTAACTGTCTCAAAAATCCCTTCTTAGTTTTGGAATAATCACCTTCTCTACTCATTGCATTAAACCAGGCAAAGTAGGAATGTCTGGGTGAGTCTCACATCAGGCTCCCTGGGAGAAGCCTGCTTCTCCCTCTGCCTCTGTCTCTGCCTCTCTCTCTATGTATCCTCTCATGAATAAATAAATAAAATCTTTAATAAAAAGAAACAGGCAAAGCTTCCATCCCTAAGGTCCCATTATCTTTCTCCATCCACAGGATGAGTCAGAAGGAAACGTACTCACCACCATTCATTCTCTTTGTTTAATATTTCCTGCAGTGAGGTTTCCTTGTGTAACAAACCACTTCTGTGGGTGTTTGAGGGTCTTTAAAAAGAGAACATGCTGTTCCCATGAGTGGAACGCCTCCTGAAGGCAGAGTCACAGAGAGCACAGAGCTCTGGGATTTTGAGGCAGGGCTCGTCCTTGGGAGATCTAGTGTCCTGATTCAAGCCATCTTCATTTCCAATTGATTGAAGTCCTGGTATGGAGGAGAACAGAGTCTTGGGCTTCTACCTGGTTTCAAGTTTTAGCCACAGACTGGCCATTTTTTCAATGGTAAAATGGGGATACTTAATAATAGAATTTCCCTCCTAGACCTATTGCATATAAAATGAGATAACATGCAGACAAGTAGGGCATGGCTAAATGCCTAATAAGTGGTAGCTGTCAAAGAAAGCCTTGCTGCTACTGGCTCCTTCCTTACTATGTGTGGCTCTAGGTAGTTGATATAAGCTCTGCGAGCCACAGTTTCCTCATCTGAGGAGGGTTAACATTACCAGTTCACAGAGCTCCCATGTCGATTAAATGGGATGTGGTGCAAGCACTTTGCACACTCCCTGGCACAATGTAGATACTTGACATTTGTCAGCTTTCTTCACCCTCACATTATCTTGGCCTGCCTAGTGGCTCAAGACTGAAGTTCCTTCATAATAATTTCTCGTCCAGATGTATCTTGTTAACAAGCAAGTACTTCCAAATAGAACTGATATTTTAAAACCATCGCTTAAAATTTTCTTCGGTGCAAAGGAGGAAGGAGCCTGTGGGCACTGGGTACTTTTTCAGGGACACCCGAGAGAGGGAACAAGGACAGCCGAGATTGGCAAAGCATCTTGTCTCTATAGTCTTACACAGGTGAAGCTGGTCAGCTGCACACCCTCCTGTTCAAACTAACTTCTCTGCCTCCAGGATCAGGAAACCCTGCCTTACAACCTGAGAGAATCCAGGAGTCCCTGCTTTAATGAAAATTGAGGGCGTGGGGGAGTAGAGATTGTATCTATCCACTGTTTATAAAGTGGGTGGCTCTCCACATTTGGAGCCTGCTTTCACTACCTGTGGACCTCACTCTCCTAAACCCAGAGCACACCAGAGTCGGCTTGGGCCATTTTTGGCTAAACCCCAACACTTGAGGCAGGCATTGTAAGTTTCCCTCCAGATGCCCTCTTGGTCTTCTTTTATCAGAGATCTGGAGTCACAACCAGATCAAGAACCACGTCCCTTATGCCACGTGTATGGATAGTTTGATGATTAATTAGACACAAATGTGGCACTGGGGTCTCAGAATGGCTTATGGGACATATGTAACTTACCGTTGGATTTTCGCCGCCAGTGGCTGCCCTAACGCCAGGTGCTTCTTAATGACTAGGGAAAGTCCTCAGGCTGTGGACTGTGCTGCAGGGTGGGCGAGGAGAGCTTGAGGACTCCGCAGACCTGGGGGACTGGAGCTGCCACCAGGGGGCTCAGGCCTGCAGGGAGCTCCACGGAGGCCCTGCGGAGGGAAGAGGGGCGCCGCCAGCGGCAGAGGCAGATGTCCCCCCAGCTGCCTCTTTTGGCAGCGGTGAGAGAGGAGGTTCCTGGGCTCCTTGCTCTAAGGCGAAAGGCCTCCCCAGCCGGCCGCTCAGAACCCGCACCCGCCATCTACCTCCACGGCCTCGTGGCTTGGCCTCTCCAGGGGCACGAACCTGCCCTTGGACCCGGGACTGAGAAAACCCAAAACCTCTCTAGTTTCACCACTGGATTCTTAAGAGTCAGATTTCTGGGGGCACCTTCCGTGGTTGAGCCTCTGCCTTCCGCTCAGGGCGTGATCCTGGGGTCCCGGGATCGAGTCCCACATCAGGCTCCCTGCAAGGAGCCTGCTTCTCCCTCTGCCTGCGTCTCTGCCTCTCTCTCTCTCTGAGATCTCTCATGAATAAATAAAATCTTAAAAAAAAAAAAAGTCAGACTTCTGTATTTAAGTGACCCCGAAGCATCCACTGTCAGACCCACGTGGGTCACGGTCTAGGGACGTGAATCTTCAAAGTGTGGCCCCCCCACCGGGCAGCATCCGTTTGGGCTGCGTCCTGAACCTGGTTGGAAATGCGCATTCTCAGGCCCCGCCCCCGACCTCCCAAACCCAAGACGGCGGGAAGGGCGCCTCGAGTGCCTCGCTCCCCGGGGCTTCTCCGTCCGCCCAGGTGAGTGTGGATGGCGAGACACGGGGAGTCCGCGTCCTCCCGAGATTTCTGGGCAGCCGGCCCGGTGGTCACGTGGGCTCTTGGAGGCTTTCTCCCCCGCCCCCGGGTCTTTAAAAGGGAGGAGAGGCTCCTCGTTAAGTCGTTGGTGATCTTTGCAGCGTCTCCGGCTCCTGGACCTGTTGAAACCCGGTTCGCGCCCCTGCTGCCAGGCAGCCGAGAGCGCCGAGGGGGCGGGGACCGCCGGGGAAACTTGCGGTGGGTGGGAGGGGGCGGCGGGAGCGCGGAGGGGGACCGCGGCGGCGGGCGGCGGGCGGCGGGCGGCGATCCAGCTCCGCTCCAGCTCCGCTCCAGCTCCGCGCCGCGCGGTGGGCGCGCTCTCCGGCCCTGGGGCCGCGGGGCCCGCGGCGGGCGGCTGCCCCGGGAGAGGCCCGTGCCCGCGCGACGGAGACCCCTGGCCGCCGTGCACCTGCAAGGTAAGGGCCCCTCGGCCGGCTCGAGGTGTGACTTGTCTGCTCTTCTGTTTGAAAGCCCGGGATGCGAAAGCAGCAACGTTGAGAACAATAACAGACCCCCGCCTCCGCCCGAAACCACTTGTCTTGAAAACTATAGGAAACAGAAATTTCACGCTCTAAGTATTTTCACTCAAGACGCTGGCAAGTTAATTTAGTTAATTAGTTTGTGCCTGTAAACTCCGGATTGATACGTGTCTTTTTGAAAGAAAACTCTAGATTTTTTCTTTCTTTCTCTTCTTTTTCTTTTCTTTTCTTTTTCTTTTCCTTTTCTTTTCCTTTTCCTTTTCTTCCCTTTTCTTTCCTTTTTTCTTTTCTTTTCTTTTTCTTTCTTTTCTTTCTTTCTTCTTTCCCCCTATGGATTTCCCGAAAAAGGGTGAAATGATGAGCGTGGGAAAGTTGAACGAGGACTTCATGCCTGAGTTTTGTGGGCCTGGGAAGGTCAAGCAGGTGACCGGTGTTTTAAATGTATTAAGTGCCACTGCTCAGTGATATAAAAAACAGATTTGCTTCTGTCCTGGGTGAACTGAGCAAGATCTAAGATCTGGTCCGTTTTATTTGCTGAAGAGGAACCCAGCTGCTCTTCTCTTGTCCCTTTGTGTTACCATTCGTGCCTGATTCATTTCGGAAGCCTAAAATTAAGTCAAGGGAATAATATTTTTTGTAAAAAAAAATTTGGGTTTGAGTGAATTTCTATTTAGGAAAACCAGGTTGACTCAATTTTACTAGCTTTTTAGAACAGCTTTGTGCTTTGGTGTAGTACACAGCCCTTTGGAGGTAAGATTTTTGCCTTACTAGACTTTTAGTATTTTCAGGGACATGCCATTGGGAATTTTTACTTTTAAGTTTCTGAACTCACAGTGGCTATTATATGTGGCAAAAAGATATTTGTTACTTAAGTGAACATGTGTAAAGAAAGGTTTCTGCCGTAAGTATTGTAAAAAAGTATGTGTTCTCTGACTATGACACTTCTTCTTTGCCTTTTATTTTTTCTGCAGAAAAATCTATATTTCTGCATATACTCAAGAAGAGGGAGAATGTAAGGTGTTAAAGCATAATCTTAGGATCCATTTTACATTCAATCTTCTATTTTTCAGTTGAATTACTGAAACATTCTTATTTCAAAAGCAGCCAGTCTCCTGTAACTCTTAAGACTTGAAAATCTCTGAAATCAATTAAAAACACAGAATACATTTCATAGTGGTTCTGAGGGACTCAAATGAATCTAATGACCTTTTCTATTCCTCAGTTTACTTATAATATGGAAAAGGTAAAATTTAGTAGTAAATTTAACCCTTCAAAACATAATTAACATCTAATAGATATTGAAATGTCCATTTTTAAGAGTAAAACACTACAGTTTTCTATATATCTATATTCAAGTAATGGTGCAAAATACATCTGATAATTTTAGTTTATGTTTTGAGCCACTTTATATAATACTTGTAAATATGTAATAATTATATAAAACACTGAAGGCTGAACTTGAATCATTTACTGGTAAGTTTTTTCCTAATTACATCTAGAACATTGAGAACTGTATACTTGAATGTTACACTTCATAATTTAGTGGACATGGACATTATAGCCATCTTTAAAAGGCAGGCTCCTGGCAATATAATTTTTATACAGTAAAACCTAGCCTCTTTAGGTTACCCTTTATGAATTCTGACAGTTGCAACATTTATATAATCACTGCTACAGTCAAGACCTAGAACAGTGCCATCACTCCCAAAAGTCCCCTTTGTGTGTTTGTAATCAGCCCTCCCCACCCATACTCACCCCCTGAAAAATCACTGAACTGTTCCCTAATTTTACTGTTCTGTTCTTCAGTATGTTTTTACCCAGAAATAATTAATCTTCCTATGCTTTTTGCAAAAGAGAATCCCAGTCTCCCTCAACCCCTCTTTTTGTTGGGATGAGTCAGGTTGTGGTATTTTTGTTTTACTCCTTATATACTTCGGAATGAATTGAGGCAAAGAAAAGCTATTTTGCAAATGGGACTGTTAGGGTCCCATTGGGCTAATAGATTTCATTCTTAGTGCATTCGGATTCCATTGTGGGCTAAGTCTTTTGTTCTGGTGTGCATCTGGATTATCACCAACTGAATACAGGGTTTTTAAAGAAATTTGGTCATTTATGTAATATAAATAGAATGTATTGTATTTATATAATCTAGGCATTTAAAAAATACTTTTATTATATTTGAGAGTACAAAAGTTACCTGAAATTACGTACGATTAGTGAGGAGCAAAAGAGTAATTAAAAATGGCAATCTGGAGACATTGAAAATCTAATATAGAGTGATTGTAACTTAAGTTAAAAAATACTGTCCTTATTAAGAGTTGAGGTCTGTGCCCAATTTATGTGTTGATGTCAGAGTTTTTCCATTTCTGTGCTCATGCTTTGAAATCTAGATTTTCTTGCAGGACATATTCTTTACTGTTTAATACATTATTCAATTTAGAGAATAGCTAGGAGCCTGTTATTGTTAAGCACTCCTAATAAAGATATGTCAGATGATGTCTTTTTCCTTTCTTCTTTGTGCTATGAAAAGAGGAGGCCGTATTTTCTACATGCAGCTTACCTTTCAGAGAACTACAGAGGCAGTAACTAGGATAAGCAGAGTGGCATGCTGAGGAAGCACCAGCAAACTGAGTGGTTGGCATTCCTAGCTGGAGGTTTTATACCTCTTCATAAATTAAGGGCCTTCAGCGGGGATTCTGGGTATGGGTGTACTTAACAGAGAGCAGGAGAGTACGGGTCACTGTCAAGGCAGCTTACTGGATTTGGTATGTTTCCTCAAAACAAGACTGCAATGTTTTGTGGGTAAATGTTCGTGTTCAACTGAAACCCAGGACTGGAAGAGGAGATGAGTGCATTCGCTTTAACTTCTGCATTGGTCATGTCCTCTTGAACCTCTTCATTCACAACTGTCCCCTCCCTGTCCCAAATGGATATTTGAAAATGGTTCCATTTCCTAAGAGCAGTGCATTTTCTCTGATGATTGGAATTGGGAAGGGGCAGAGACTTGCTGAAGAGAGTAGACTGATGGGCCCTCCCTCCATACCCCACCTTAGCGTGTGAAGACCGTGCTGCTGAGGCTCTGGCCTCTTCCCCATCAAGCTTCCAAGTTCTATTTCCTGTTCAGGTCTGTAAGGTCCAGGGGGCCACAAGGGGAATTAGAGTTTTCTCATTTTGGAAGATACATGTACGTTTTCTTAAGAGTTGCATGTGAATTATTAGTGATCAGTTCTGTGATGATTTTAGTGTTTTCTTTTTTTAGAAAAGATTTTATTTATTTATTCATGAGAGACATGGAGAGAGGCAGAGACACAGGGAGAGGGAGAATCAGGTCCCTTTGGGGAGTCTGATGTGGGACTTGATCCCAGGACCTTGGGATCATGACGTGAGCCGAAGGCAGATGCTCAACCACTGAGTCACCCAGGTGTCCCAGAGTGTTTTTTCTTTTTAATGAATATTAAGTTGATCAGGAGCTGTGTTTTGCTGGGGAAGATTTAAGGCCAATGATTGATAGACGGCCACTGGCATACATCAAGGATGCTTGACACTTAAATATTTTTTATCTTTTCCACAAATTTTTTTACAGTGTCTGCATTGTGAATGTGCATGTGTGACTTCTGTAGGGCACACAAGTGAGCGGTGTTTGAACTGAATGCTTGGGGAGGCGTGGTGGGCAGGCTCAAGAACACAGAGCAAGGAGAATGTGGCATTTTGTGCTATATATGATGCCAGCTGGCTACCAGCAGCCCAGCGATTTGGACTGGTGTAAGGAATTGTCAAGCAGAAGTTCAGAAAGTACAGTGAGGAGGCAAAAATCCAAAATGGTGGTCATAAGGGCATTTTAACCTTTCTAGAAGTTCTGTCCAACACTCTAGGCACATCCAGTGGCATGCTAATAGACAGACTTTGTCTTCCTGGATGTGTAATAATACCTCACAGGATGTTTCCACATACATCATTTTACTTTATCCTCCAAGTGCTGTGAAAAAATGCAGCCCATATTAGGTTTTATTTTCTACTGAAGGAGCCATGGAAGCTCAGGAAGTTGATGTGATTTGTACAAGATCACCTGGCTTTCAGGCAGAGCCAAATCTAGGACCCCATGTACTGCTCTGTCCACTGGGCCAGAATACATGTAATAGCAGGCCTGGTGGCAACTGCCTTTTTATTGTTTATCTAGATTTGATAGATACTTTGATAAAATCATTCTACTCTTCCTGGATTGTCTTTCTACCATTTCTTGGGCCTGTTTTTTCCTTCTCCCAAGGAATCACTGTAAATATTTGGAATTTTACAATCTTTTTTTCTGTTTAAGTTCCACAATATGTTCAGTACGTTAGAACACTATGTGTCATCCCATGTGTACAAAAGGCTTTCCTGCTGAACACAGATGGGACTTGAAAGGGCTCACTACTGGTGTGTGTGGTGGAGGAGGGAAACAGAGAAGTCTTTGGACAGAAAACAGTTCTGTTCATCATGAAGGATATGGGCCAGCTATTTTAGGCTGTGATGACCAGTTAAAGAAAATTGACATGCAAAGAAATGCTTAATTCTTAGAATCAGGATGTCCGGGTTCATGTTCTTTTGTTGGCCATGTGAAGTCCCATGCCTGCCAGGCCCAACAATTAAGCTGTTAAGAGACTATTTTTCCTTTTGATACCAGATACTGTGCTCACTGAGTCAGTACTTGCTTGTTCAAAGGAATATGTTGGGAAAATCCTGTCCTACAATGTTGAAGAAATTTGATTTGGGGGGATTCTTTCCTTCAACTGGTTTATCTCCCTGGTTTAGATCAAACTACTCACCATAACCAGCACAGGTTGTTTATTCACTTTCTTAGTCTTTGGGTGGAGACTTTTGCTACTTGTTTGCTCGTCTATAGGGTCTTCTGCTATGATTTCAGTTCCTTGCCCCTTGTGTCTTTGCTTCAGAAGAACCCT